GATTAGATAGATTAGATACGATACAATACGATACAATACGATACAATACGATAAGATAAACTAGATTAGATATATTCATAATATTAGATAGAGAAGATAAGCTAGATAGATAGGATAGATAGGATAGATAGGTAGGTAGGAAGGTAGGTAGTTAGGTGGGTAGGTTGCTAGATAGATAGATAGATAAGATAGATAGATAGGATAGATAGAAAGCTATATATAGATTAGTTTTGATTAGATTTGTTTAGATTAGATTAGATAGATAGGTATCATATATACATACATGTTACAAGGTATATGTAATGATCTAATGTCACCATGCACCCAAGTCAAGCCTGAAAGCTGTTTTTTTAACCGAGGCGAGGAACGGACAAGACATCGCCTGGAAGCCAAACGAAAATTCCTGAAAATTCCCGGATTTTTGTTTAAACACTTGGATCCAGTTTCAAAGTTCCAGAGAGCTATGGTTTTTTGTTCCAGCTATTGTGACAATTGTGCTGTGTTTTTTTTAAGGTTTTTTGTTGTGTTTTTGTTCACCCAGATGTGGCCCTTGACAGATCCTGACAGAATTGTGGCCTTTGGCTGAGGCTTCGGCAAGTGGCTGAGAACGCTGCGCAGGGAGCCAAAGACATTGCCAGCCGTGGCCCGATGACTTCCTCGGATCTAACGGCACCTTAGACCTTAGACCGTTTGAGACGAGAAGATACCGAGAATACCGAGATACCTATATTTTGTTCAATTTCCACTCTTCTAAATAGGATATGTCAAGGATACTATAAGGATACTATAAGGATACTCTTGTGAAGGCGATTCCGATCCCTGAAATCCCCAAATCTGCGGGCCCGTGGTGGCCATCCGCTGGAGGCGTCACGTGGATGATATGCATCAGCACCGGGAGGGTCTCTCCAGGTTGCCCAGACGGGCATCTGAGCAGCTTGAACTGAGCCGAAGGACAGGGAGTTGGATGGAATGAGATTGGTTTGTTTGTTTGTTCTTTGCTTCTAATTCTACCTTTTGATTTATTTTGATACCCTCTGGTTATTTAACATAGCCATGGAACATGGCCCATTTATAGATGGTTTACCTATTGAAAATGGTGATTTTCAATGGCTATGTTAAATAACCAGATGGTATATTTTGATTAGGAACGGTTGAATGGTTGAACCATCGGCATATAGCGACTTATGGTGGCGTGTGATGGCGATCGGCGGCCTCACCCAAGGCCGGGACTTCTTGCCTCCATCAGCCACAAAGGCTGGTGAATGATGGGTTTAGGTAGCGCCTACCTGCGCAAAGCTTGGTTGGGGAGGTTATATATTAATAGTTGCTGGATGTTGCTGGCAACCTGTTACTTATTATTTTTCTGTTCAAAAGATAAGTAGCTATAGGGAAGATACCCTGGTATACCCAGGTTATGAGTTGCTTTTGGTGTGCTGGGGATCTGGGCTACCTCCAGGTGTTCCAAAAGCCATCGTGAAAGATTGGGCTGGGCACTTAGCTGCAGGATGCCTTCATTTCGGTCTGTGACCTGGGAAATGCTGGGAATGGACCAAGGCCGATGCGATGCGGGATGTTTTGGGCGTTGGACCCTTGGAGGGCTCCGAAGGCTCATGGCCCCCAAAATTCTTCAGAGGCTGGAGAGGAACGGTAGCACAGCGTCAATACCATGAATAGATGAAAAACAATATATATATATATAATATGTATATATATCTATATCTATATATATATCTATATCTGTATATAGAGTAAATGATGAGTGCCATCATGATATACATGATCATATTATGTGAATTGTGTTTTTGTTTCCTTGCGTTTGGACGGGCAGAACCTTCCGCAGCATTGTGAGATCCAAAGTTGCTACTTGTGGTATTGACTGACAGTGTGGCAGCAATCAACAATCAACAATCAACAATCAGCAATCACCATCACCATATTGATAACAATAATCATGATCATTATCAAGCCTCGCAGTAGCTGGTAGCACCGCCAAAACGCACCCTCACTCAGAAAATGAACCCCGACACTCCAGCACTCGTCAGCCAAGGTTCCAAATGCAGAAGGTGCATTTCCTGAAGGTGCCGCCGGGCTGTTTGGGCCTTCTTACATTCAGGTGTTTCACCAAAAATGATTGTTCTTGTTTGAAGGAGTATAGATGCACTGGTTGCTGGTTTGGAACATTCTTATATTTTTCCATATATTGGGGAATAATAACCCCAACTGACTAGTATTTTTCAGAGGGGTTGAAACCACCAACCAGTGCATATAGGGTCAAATGCGCAGGTGACAGCAACTCCAGACGCGGGCTCGGCCACCTGGAAATGGCGAAGCTGGAAGGGCAGCCGGGGTAGCCACAGATCTTGTTGGGTTGTAGGGTTCCGGATGGTTCCGGTGACCTTTCATTATATTACCCTCTGGTTATTTAACATAGCCATGGAAAATCCCTTATAAATGGAGGTTTTAATGGGAAAATCATCTATAAATGGGCCATTTTCCATGGCTATGTTAAATAACCAGAAGGTAAATCTTTTGCGTATTTCCCCAGCAACTAATGCATATGGAAAATCACCATGTGAACAATAGGTCAACCATGTGCCATAGCTTCAATGGATTGGTTTAAGGGAACATCTGAACCGGAAACCATGGGGTCTTACAATCAAATATAGGGGTTTCATGGAGTTCCGGTTTCAATTTTCCCTAAAACCTCTCAATGATATGATCGTATCATTAACTTTCATTAGTTATTCTTGGATGATTATTACCCTTGGTTATTACATTATTATGGATCATCATCGAATCATGAATGCCCTCCCGACCATTTGAACTCATTTTACATCATCTGCAATACGGGCATACCCAAGAATGGATAATTAGGTAAGTTTGATAAATGATGTAGCAGGGTATAACAATTGGTGATAATGGGTGCGACTGGGCCAATATGGGCTCATTATTGTATCTCAGGGCTGAGACTCCTTTTTCATAAGAGCTAATCAATAGTGTTCATGCAACCCGGCCATATTGGCTTTCTACCACAGTTCAACGAAATTGTTGCAGACATGTGAGCATTCAAGAGCACCCCTTATTAAAAGTTCAGAAAGTGAAATTATATTGATGTCAGACAGTTAATGATTTCTTGACCAACGCATCGGTAACTCAATGAATTCCAATCCAAAACCACGCACGACAGCCATCCGCACAGGCGAACAAAAAATATATTGTAGCCTGCCTTGGGTGAAACATATTGTTAATCACGCTGTGTCTATTTGTTGTTTACTCTAAAGCCTTCTAAATGATCTGCAACAAAGGACGCGCACACCCACGAAGGCGCACACTCAGCAATGAACAAATGTGGTGCTGCAGGTCCAAAGACGCAGCGCTGCCACCTGTCGGTGCCTTGCCTGTGGTTGGTGCTGTGGAGAGAATCGATCTGAAATGCGTTGGAACATGGAGGATTTACCAATTTTAGTCTTGACAACATCAGTGGCTCAGTGGCTAGTGCTTTCCGACTGAAGTGACCAAGATGCATCAGACATGTTCGGTCGACAGCCATCAGATGCCATCAGTCATTGCATATGAAGCAAGCAATCCGTTCCCCATTCAATATGATTAAATCATATTAAATCCCCATATGAAATTATCATAAATTATCTAATTATCTATATTAAAGCTGTATGATTCTACAGAGCACCATCACCAACTGCCAGGCGCCTTTGTGCCACCCAACGCGTTGCAACCTTAGATGGCAACCTTGGCTATAGACACATGTGCACAGAAGTACATGTTTTTTCTTAAAAAAACAAAAACATATGCGTTGCATATATCAAATGATTACACACACACATACCAGTATGTATATATATCTAGATATGCAGATAATAAGCATATATGAGCATATAATATATGTTGTGCGTGTGTGTGTGTGTGTTTGTGTTTGATTCATTTCACTTGGACAGCCTTATGGCCAGCATTAGCCGCCACCTGCTTTTCACGCCAAACTTGCAGCGCAGGCCTGCGCCATCAGAGAAGCCTAGGCCCGATAACAGAGGGTTGGAAACGTCGCCGTGGCGGCTTGGGCCTTCATCTTCACTGTTTGAGATCATTGCATTTTGTGTTTTACGACACTTTCATAGACATGTCATTTTGACCAACAGCTGTATGAGTCCTTTGGATGGTCGCAGTGATTCTTGTGGACCTAGTCGTGGCTGAGCGGACTTTGATCTTGGCCAAAACTTGTGGCCAGGAGGAAATCACAAATCGTTCCGCCGTTGTGCCTCGATTACATTCTATTATGCCTGGCTGTATGGTTCTGAAATTGCAGCAACAGATCACAACAGCTTGACAGCCATAGTCAGATGTGTCAGAGGAACAGGGCCCCAAATTGTTCTGATCCTGAAAGGCTCACTCCAAGGATTGTTTAATGCCATGGAAGATCATGGAAGGTTGGTTTGATGCATTTGTTGGAGGGATGGTAAGCATGACCTTTGGAGATGCTCCTCCCAAAATGGCTGGGTTTGCTGCTAGCTGAGGCCAGAAAAAGGCATACGGCCAGCTTCCGGCATTGTAGAGGCCTTAGATCAAGTTTGAGGCAGGAGGAGAAATCCCCGTGAAACTTGGCCGTTTGGCGTGGCGTTTGTTGCCAGTAGAAACTGGCATGCAGGCATTGCATGTGAGTTGGTTGGTAGATTTGGCAGCGGATTCTGGTCTTCAAGTGATTGTGGGGTACAAAGGGCCATCAGAAAGCAGAAATCCCAGAACGCAAGCCTTTCCAGGCAAATCCACGCACGGACTTTATTTTTCCCGGTGTTGCATGCTTGAGCTGCGTGTATCCACTGTGTTGGCTGTTCGTAGCTGTTTGCTTGGCCAACGTGCAATATGTCAGCATGTGTGAAGAAGAATATAAGCCAAAAAATATATCACTCCCAACTCCCAACTTTGAACATGCAATTTGAAAATTGATGAAAATTGTTTCACTGCTTCACCTTAAAAGCGTTGCCTTTTTAGGCGTTTCTAGCGTTGCTAGCATCCGACTCAGCCCTTGGATGCCCTTGGATGCCCTTGGTAACGGTGAGCATCGCTATGTGGAGCTGCCCCTCCCAGCTGACTCAGCTGACTCAGCTGACTCAGCGAGCTGCCCCAGGGAGATACGACGGAATGGCTGGTGCCCAAAGGAGCGACGGTGACCGAAGAGATAGACGATAAATATATCGATATAAAATGATATAAATTTATGGGTTGGATAAATGGATATAAATGGGTTGGATAATTGGATATAAATGGGTGTGTCTGAAAATGGGATCTATGTAATCTATGTATCTATCTCAGACACGCCAGGCCACTCTGGGGGAATACTTTTTGTTTTATTCATAGGATATACCATACCCCCAATATCCCCCATGCTGACAATGATGATCCAATGGATTTGGCGGTACACTATTTTCAGAGAAATCCAGGTAGCCATAGCGCAGATGCCGCAAATCCTTTGCCGTGGTTGGTGATCGGATACCAGCCCTTTAAACGTGGACAAAAGACTGCAACATGGCAACACATGTTTAAAACAAATTAAATCGTAGATTTATATACATAATTATGCATAAATGAAGAAATCAGTCAAGCAATCAATATAATACATATATATAATATGGGTGTGATGTGTGTGCGTGTATGCCAATCAAAAAATCAGGACCTCGATCATATAATTTGTCGCCTCGATCATTGCAAACACTTGTTACAACCACGTCGAAAGCCCAGTTCCAGCAAACCGGGGCATCGACCCAACGCAAATCATCCAGTTGCTATGTTTCACACAATGCTAGGATCATGCAGTTGCAGTTAATTGTAATTATAATGAATGGTTGTTTCGCCTCTATTTAGCTGGCAGATAAGCCCGTTGAGCGGGGTCCGGTATTTGGAACTTAACGTCCAAACTTCATTTTAGAATACGTTCAAGCTATGAATAAGTGGGCATAGTGAGTGCTGTATTGCTATAGCTCATCTAGCTCTTCAGGATCACCTCATGTGTTTCCTACTGTTTGCCCTCTGGATTAGGACGCAACATCGCCATTGGCAGCCCAGATTGGTTCTGGGCATGGGGGTCATTAGCGCCATGGTCAGACGTTGTCGCAGAGGTTCCTTGTGGGGGTCGTGAGTTTTGAGAGTTTTGGGACACCATCCACCTGTGGATTATGGAATTTAGTTGGCGAAACCCATGGTTGTTGGTTCTGCTTGTGGTTGTACCCATCTGGAGCCGGCGGTCATCCGGAGGTTCGCGGCTATGGCGTTCTGCAGCATTGTTGGATGGAACAGTGACTGCCGATCCTCGGCATGCATGGGAACCTGGGAACCCTTCAAGATGTGAGACCCAACAGATTCCAAGGGCCATGGGTCAATTGCACCATTTGCATATTTCAGGCATTGAATCATGCTATGATTATAATGAATAATGAAACGATTTTGGGGGTGGCCCAAATGTTGAAGCACATTCCCTGGAATGTCGCAACATTGATCCTGCGCTTTCCCATAATTATAGCAGCTCTGAAGTGCCCAGCCTGAGCTCTCATACTACACAATGGTTCGAAGATGTTTACAGGTTTCTCCAGACATGGGGTACACCAACCTGTATACCCCAAATTGTGAATTATTTTGATAGGGAAATTCTGGGACGGTGATGGTAAACACTTGAGTTTTCAGGAAGGGCCTCCTTGGACAAATCCAAATTGAGAGTGTGTTTGCTTTCAATTCCCTGCATTTTTGCCCATGGTTGCCCACTGCACAACTGATTCTTTTGTGATTTGACACACTCGAATTCTTCGAGGGTCCGGGAGATCCGGCTCACGCAGTGTCAAGGTGGGATTGGATGGAGAATCGCCATCTCCAGAAGCCCCACCTGCAGGATCCCGCACATTGGATGAGCAATTTGGCTGCAAGCCGACATCCTCGGATAGATTGTAAGAACATGTAAGAACCAGTCAACCATTGAATCATGTTCAGTCAGTGTATCAACCTGCTGTTTGTTGAGTCGCAAGGGTCAGGAGCTTTACTCTGATGGACGCACTCTCCACTGGACATTCAGGGTGTGGCCGCACTGTGATACATTGATTCCTGGATTGTGTTTTTCCATCAGGTTCTTGATTGAAAAGAGAGACAAGAGAACCACCCAAAAAGAACAAAACAGCTTTTGCATAGAGCTGACGGTCTTCTCTTATTCACACTTCTGCCTTAAAGGAACAACAGATTGAAACAGGTTAGAGCACTATGCATTCCCCGAATTTGTGGCCACATCCGCATCAGATCTTCAGGTTAGGATTCCTGATCCGCAACCCTTTTGCTCGCGGCTTGGAGGTGTCTGTCAAGCAATCGGTGGAAAATGGGGGTTGCTTCCGCAGTGGCTTCTGTGTTTTTTGGTCACTGCTAACTACAAGTTAGGATCCAGTAGGATGTCCCAATAGCCAATAGTATTTAATCTGGTTGGTGGATTGGAACATTTTTTATTTTCCCATATATTGGGAATAATAACCCCAACTGACTAATATTTCTCAGAGGGGTTGAAACCACCAACCAGTAATGATGTTTGGCTTTATACTCGTAGTGTTTGGTTTCCTGAGATCCTTCCTCACAATACCGCTCTGGTATGGTATTTTTTTCGGCGCTATGACCAGCTATAGATACTCGTTACAATATTCCAATTATATAGATACTGGTTACAATTGTACCATATTGATCCATGTTGCACCGACTATATA